AACCAAAAGCCCAGAGAGTACAACAAAAATAGGTAACCAGGTAACCTTCGAGCCCCAGAGTACAGCTGGGTGGGGCAAACCAAAAACTGCCACAAGAACAGCATTGGTTCATGTGAGGAAAAGGAAGGCGGGACCAGGGGTAGGAAATGATAGACGTGGAAACAGGAGAACTCTAGGCAATGGGTGATCCCGGGAGCTGGGCAGCCAATCTGAAAATGTCAGCTGAAGCTGAGAGAGGTTTTGTTCTCTGTAACAGTGGGTGCACGTGAGGGCCTTTAGTCAGGACTCCTGAAAGGGCTGGAGCAGGGCAGTCCTTCTAAGCTCATGAGGCTGACTGCTGATTTCTAGAACAAGGCTCCATGCTAGGAAAACTCCTAAGACTAAAATCAAAATTGAGCAGGACAGAGACAAGAGACAGAGACTGTATTCCTCTTGGGGGCCTCTGTAGTCAATACAGGACCAGGTAAGACACTACCAGAATTTGAAAACAGGGAAAGCAAGACATAACCCACACCCAAGAAGGGATAAGGACATCCCCAAAAATATGTTACCTTATTTTTAAACTACACATAAAAACTACAGAATAAGGGGCTGTGTGAAGATGAAAAATCTTTCCTGAGCATAGCCTTATTCTAAAATGACAGGAAAAGTAATTTCACATAAAAAACAATAGAAAAGTATCAAGGCCAAGTTCCATACAAAGTTGGAACTTAAAAGAAAAAAGCCCGAGCAGGAGCAGAATAACATCCCTATAGGCAAAAAACACACCAAGGAGATGTGGTCAAAACCAGATCAGAGCTGCAACTTACTTAAAAACTAAAATGCATTAAGCAAATGACATAAGCCATGGAAGAACTGTACACATCTGAGTTAGACTCCAAAGAAAGTATTCAGAAAAGAATTAGAATGTATTTTAGAAATGAACACCAGACAAGAAGCAACACAGAACTAGACGTAACAAACTATACCTCAAGAGAAATAGATGGTGAAAAAGAAAAATAGGTTCAAGTAAAAAGAAAATGAAGAGAAAGAAACAAGTGCTCAGGGCAGGCAAAGGAGATCAAACACCCAGGTAACAGGAGTCCCTGGAGAGGAAAACCAAATGGAGTGAAGAGGACAAACACTAAAAACATTTCTGAAATTTTTTTTTAAAGTTTGAAACTACATAGTGAGAGTATACTGTGTACCTGAGAATATAGGCCCAGAATGACCCCAACAAAAACATTACAGTAAACTTAGTTGGACTTTAAAGAAAAAGTTATCAGTTTGCAGCCCCGTCGAATAAATAGGCAGGAGGAACCAACAGCTGCTAAGATGACGAAAAGACAGCCTGGCATGTGTCTCCCCTTGTCTTGCCAAAGGAACCACACCTGAGTCTAAACCACTCTCTGACTTCAGCTGCCAGAAGTACCACGGACAGGAATCTGTTGTCCTGCAAGGAGAACCTGTGGACTGCGGAAGCTGCGGGTTAAATGGCCTGAGGTCTTCAGCAGATTGTTTTAAGTAAATGCAAGGCACAGAAGAGGAACCTACAGACTAAGAGACACATGCCTTTAAAAAACTGGAAAGGCTAAACTACAGAGCTCATGATGCATATGTAGGTAATGAAATTATAAAACGGTAAAAGGAAAGATACGATTAGTCTAAGAGGGTGGCCAGTGGTTACTTGGGGTGGGCGATGGGGGAGGGGGCTTTGATAGACTGGTGCACTTACGGGGTGGCTGGCATTGTTCTATTTCTTGCTTGGTATTCACCTCATAACAATTCATCAAGCCATTTGCTTGATTTGCATGGTTTTCTGTATCTGTGGTGTTATTTACAATAAAAGGATTTTTTACAAAAATCAACCAAAGGAGGCAGCCTGGTATGTAGGTTCTTGCCATTCGATGTGTGGTTCCTAAACGAGCAGAATCAGCATCATCTGGCCGCTTGTTAGAAATGCAGAATCTTGGGTCCACCCCAAACCTACTGAATCAAAAATTAAATTTTAACCATATCCCCAGGTAAATAATTCGCACATTAGAGCATGAGGGAGTCCCTGGGGTGGGTGCCAGTCCTGGCTTCTTACTTACCATGTGCTGTGGGACAAGTCACTTCAGCTTTAGTTTCCTGATCTATGAAACGGAAGGAATAATTATCTTCTGAATTATGCAATGTGAAGGTGGGCCAATTCATGTACGTTAAAAGACAAAAGCAAGATTATGCTCAGTGAAATAGGCCAGGCGGAGAAGGACAAATACCGTATGATTTCACTTATTGGTGGAAGATAAAAACAAAGCAAAATGGAACAAAAAAGCAGTAGGCTCATAGACACTGAGAAGTGACTAGTGGTTACCAAGGGGAAGGGATTGGTGTGGATGGGGAGGGATTGGTGTGGATGGGGAGAGAAAAGGAGATAAAGGGACACAATAATTCATAATCACAATAGAAAGTGGTTACAGGGACTGTAGTACAGCATGGAGAATATAGTCAATGATTCTGTAACTTCTAAGTTGATACATAGTAACTGCACTAGAGGGGGCTAGGAATCATGCTAACTGTTGAACCCGTGTGGTGTATATTCCAAACCAACATAAGATTGTGTATCAGTGATACTTCAATTAAAAAAAAAGATGAAAGCAAGAAATCTCTAGAAGGAGCCACTCATCCTAAAAGTGAGTTGGCATCACGTGTAATTGCAAAGCTGGCAGTAAAGGCATTTGATTCTTTTTTTTTTGTTATCATCAATCTACAATTACATGAAGAACATTATGTTTATTAGACTCCCCCCTTAACCAAGTCCCCCACACATACCCCATTACAGTCACTGTCCATCAGTGTGCATTTAATTCTTTTTTAAGGTATCATTGATACACAATCTTACAAAAGCTTCACATGAGCAACATTGTGGTTTCAACATTCACTCATATTATCAAGTCCCCCCACCTCATTGCAATCAGTGTCCATCAGCGTAGTAAGATGCTATAGAGTCATTACTTGTCTTCTCTGGGCTATACTGCCTTCCCTGTGCCCCCCCTACATTATTTGTGCTAATCATAATGCCCCTTAATTCCCTTCTCCCTCCCTCCCCATGCACTCTTCCCACCCTCTTCCCTTTGGTAACCACTAGTCCCTTCTTGGAGTCTGTGCGTCTGCTGCTGTTCTGTTCCTTCAGTTTTGCTTTGTTGTTATACTCCACAAATGAGAGATCATTTGGTACTTGTCTTTCTCCACCTGACTTACTTCACTGAGCATAATACCCTCCAGCTCCATCTGTGTTATTGCAAATGGTAGGATTTGTTTTCTTCTTATGGCTGAATAATATTCCACTGTGTATATGTACCCCTTCTTTGTCCATTCATCTACTGATGGACACTTAGATTGCTTCCGTATTTTGGCTATTGTAATTAATGCTGCAATAAACATAGGGTGCATGTGTCTTTTTGAATCAGGGATCTTGTTTTCTTTGGGTAAATTCCTGGGAGTGGAATTCCTGGGTCAAATGGTATTTCTATTTTTAGTTTTTTGAGGAACCTTGATACTGCTTTCCATAATGGTTGAACTACTTTACATTCTCACCAGCAGTGTAGGAGGGTTCCCCTTTCTCTGAATACCCCTTGCCATCATTTGTTGTTCCTTGTATTTTGGATGCTGGCCATCCTAACTGGGTGTGATGCTCTTGTGGTTTTAATTTGCATTTCCCTCATGATTAGCGATGTAGAGCATCTTTTCATGTGCCTGTTGGCCACCTGAATTTCTTCTTTAGAGGACTGTCTGTTCAGATCCCCTGCCTATTTTTAAATCAGGTTATTTGCTTTTTGGGTGTTGAGGCATATGAGTTCTTTATGTATTTTGGATGTTAACCCCTTGTCGTTATGTCATTTAGAAATATATTCTCCCATACTGTAGGATGCTTTTTTGTTTGGCTGATGGTGTCCTTTGCTGTACAGAAGCTTTTTAGTTTGATGCAGTCCCACTTGTTCATTTTTGCTTTTGTTTCCCTTGCCCTAGGAGATGTGTTCAGGAAAAAGTTGGTCATGTTTATGTTCAGGAGGTTTTTGCCTGTGTTTTCTTCTAAGAGTTTTATGGTTTCATGACTTACATTCCAGTCTTTGGAGGCATTTAATTCTTACCTGAAATTTTTTAAAAGAAATGCTGCTGCATACCAGTGTTCTTGATAGCACAGAGGAAGGTATTCTGTGGAAAATCACAAACATTGACCATCTTGCCTTGAAAAGTGATTTAGAAGAATTGAACTCTGTGCAAAAGTTTTGGGGCTATCTTAACCAATGCATTTTACTGTTTGTAAATAGATAAAACAAATTGAGGTATAGCCATACAACGGAATACTACTCAGCTAATAAAAAGGAAAAGCTATCCACACATGCAATAACATAGATGAACTCCAACATTACTATGCTGGTGAAATGACATACACCAAAGAATGCAAACTGATTCTATTTATACAAAACTCTCTTTAAAACTAACCTCTAGTGACAGAAAGCAGGTGGATAGTTGTCTGGAGATGGAGGTGAAGTTAGGGATGGTTTACAAGACCCAGGTGGAACCTTTATGGGTGACGGAGATCTTCATTATGTTCATTATAGTGGTGGCTTCATAGCTGAATACTTATGTCAAAATTTGTCAGACTGAACACCTTAGATAGTGCAGCCTATTGTATGTTAATTATTCCTTGTTAAAGTTATAATAAATGACTTCCTGTTCTTGCTTTATATTTAATGCCTTATTTTCCTGAGTATACTTACCAGGCATATTCTTGGCCAGTTTATTCCATTCATTTTGCTTCAGGTGGTAAATGTTTTTCGTCCTTTTGCTCTGGTTGGGCCTCTCAGGGGACTAATTAGCTTGGCCTGTGAGCGCATGTTCCCCCCAGGGCACCAGCAGCCCCACAGAGTAGTGTTCGGTGGGCGGGCTGAGGACCGGTCTCTAGTCTGAGTCCCTCCCACTGGGTTTAAGGAGAGAGCAGGGGATCAGTCCGGGTCGCAGAACCTCAGGTCCCTCCAGAATCACCCTTGACTGCTCTGGCTTAGTGCCACCTTCCTAGGCAGGATTAACCCTCTGGTCCGGCGTCTGGCCTTGAATCCACGGTAAGCAGCCGCAGCGGGAGGCGGCAGTCTCTGGGGTGTGACCTCTCGCTCTATTTCTTTTTTTTTCCCATGGGGACATTTTGCTTTCCTGACGGGCTCACCCCTGTGGCCTGCCCATGCCACGGCTTCTAACGGTTTCTAATAGGGAAGAACAGGGACCCCAAGAGAACACCTGGGAGGTGGGAGCCGACCTTAAAGGCCCTTCCCTCGGCCTGTTCTCTTTCGGCTCCGCCACCGGCCCTCCTCCCGGATGCAGGTGCCCCTCCTCGCTCCCAGGTGTGCACACCAGCTCCAGACAGACGTCTCATGCCCCACAGGCCTCTTCTTGTATTTTGTTTTGCAAGTTTCTCAGCTCCATCCTTCCACATCACTTAAATAATTTCTCCAGAATGGATTTTGAGGGAGAGCGAGAACCTGGTGTTACTTTACCATTGTCATAGGGACCCCATAATTTTTTATCTGATTCAAAACCATTTGATAGTCTTTGAAGAGAGGTAGTTTAGAGCTGAAGAACAGGTTCTGAACATAAGAGAACTCTAAAAACGAGAACCATAGAAAAGTGGAATATCATTTGCTGATTCAAGAGCCAGAAAAATGACTTGTAGATATCTTTGGACAAATACTTTAGGACTATATCCATTTGAGTTAGCATTTTGCGATTGTGAATGACTGACATTACCCTGTTCTGAGTAATGGGAGAATTGAAATTTAAAGAATCCCAAATAAGTTAAATTGTTATCTAACTAGTACGTTACATTTAACAAATCCCACTTCCCTGGCAGCACTTACCCCAGATGAAATTATACATCTATCAGTTTTCTTATTTACTATCTGTCTTATCCTGTTATGAGGCGGGGGGATCTCCTATCCCAGCACCCGGGATGATATAATAGTACAGAGTAGGCCCTCCGTAAGTAATTGCTAAACAAATGAATACTGCCTGGTGCATTGCTCATCTATCAGTTATCTCTTGCTGTGTGATATCCTACTTTGAAACTCAGTGGCGTAAAACAACAATGATCTATTATTTTTCTCATTTCAGTGGGTCGATTGGGTCTGTGGGGCTCACACAGTACCTGTAGTCAGCTAGTGGCTGGTGTGGGGGACTCATGGTCTCGGTTGACCTCCCGCACGTCTGAGACTTCAGTGGGGCAGCTGCACCTCCCCATGGCCTTCCAACCTGGATTTCTGTTCCTGATGACAGGAGCCTTCCAAAGGGCAAAGGTAGAGACAGAGCAGCCTTGAAGTCGAGGCTCTGGAACTTCACAAGTCATTTCCTCCACGTTCTCCTGGTCAGAGCAAGTCATGAGGCCAGTGCAGAATCAAGGGCTGGGGAAATAGACTTTGCCTTTTGATGGGAGAAGCTGCAAATTATTATGACGCTCCTTTTCCACCATTGCTCCAAAGCAGCTTTCCTAGTTTGTAAACAGCAGAAGAGTAACTGGCATCTCCCACCATTGTCCGGCCCACTGCCTGGCAGCTGGCAGGCCCTCGCTGTTGGCTCAGTGAGTGAATGCCTGCCAGGGCTGGCTCCACTCCCTTCAACCATGCGCTGCTTTTCTAGATACATTTGCCTACACCGCCTCCTAGTGTAATGTGGGGTTGGGGGTCTGGGGCTATTCCTTTCTTGGACAATTGAACTGTAGGATTCCAGGTTACAGATTAGGGCAATGGTTCCAAACTTGAGCAGAGGTACGAAGTATACAGAGATCTTACTAAAAACAACCAGTTCCAAAATAAATCTGACCACTGACTAAAAAAACAAGAAGTATGGAAGATTCTTGGACCCCATCCCAGTAAATTCATTAAGTCTGGATAGGTCCAAATTCATTATATGTAGGCTTTGTGATAAGTGGGGGTTGGAGGGTGAAGCTGCCATATGGGAAACTGGACCTCAGGTTTTAGGGCAACAAGACTTGCATTGGAAAACAGTTCTGCCACTGGCTGTATAACCTTGGGAAATTCACTTGACCTCTCTGATTCTCAGTTCTCTCATCTGTAAAGTGGGGTTAATGATAGCTTTCTCATAGGGTGGTTGTGAGACTAGAAATAGTACCTCATTACAGTGCATAGCAGTTAGCCCACTCAATAAGCAGGGATTAATAATGGGTCCTGGTTTAATGTGGTAGGATTCTGCATGCCTAATTCAATGCCTTAAATGACCCCTTTGTTATAAAAGTAACATATGTTCATTGCAAACATTTTGAAAAAGACTAAAAAGAATAAATAAGGAAATAAAAATCACCACTAACACCACTCCCCCACAAGAACCACTTTTAACATTTTGGCGCATATTCCTCAAATCCTTTTCTGATATGTCTGGATAATTTTTACGAATTTGAAATAAAAAATTGGAATCAGGACTGTTTTGCAATACACTTCTCTCACTATATTATCAGAATTTCCATATCATTAATATTCTTCAAAAGTATGATTCTAATGGCTGTGTAGTAGTTTATCCTATGAATGGATGGATCATGATTTATTTAAATAATTTCTTGCTTGGTTCCATTTTTTAGCCTTATAAATAAGGCTTTGATGGCTAGCCTTTTTATATAGATCTGTTCTTTCTGAATTTTCCCTTTTAGGTTAAATTTGTAAAGCCTTTGAGATATATCACCAAATTGGCCTCCAGTCACCAAATTGGCCTCCAAAAGATTTACACAAGTTTACACCTTCGTTTATAACCTTTGAGAGTGACCGTTTCTCCATTAGCTCCCCATGGTTGGCTTCTGTCACTTAAAAAAATCGACCAATGTTGCAGAAGCAAAATAGCGTATTATTGATTTAATAGGGTATTATTTTCATCATATTGTTTTATTCTGTTAGACTGTTTAATCGTATATACACTATTTTTACAACTTTGCGAAAATACATGTACACATCAAGTATGGGAGGAACCATGGAGAAATGGTAGTAGTTGTGTAATGGGACTGTGATATAATTCTATTGCTACCTACAGTTTCTTTTTAATAAAAAAAAGTCTTGGTGGCAAATGACTAATTGCTTCCCCAAATTCCTCCTCTGCCTTTTCCTAGGCTGAGTAGAAACTACATTTCCTAGCCTCCCTTGTGGCTGGATGTAGCCATGTGGTTAAATTTGGACTAAAAGGATATACAAGGAAGTGGTGCGCACTTTCTGGATCATCCTAACTTAAGCTCTTTATCTAAGCTGTAGGTTCTTTCCTCTCTCCCAGGAATAGCAACCCAGCTTTAATTAAGCAAATGATGATACCCCAGGGGATGGTAGAGCAACAGGGTACCTGTTCTTCAGAGACTCCTCACCAACCTAGCCTGGCTGTTCGGTTTTTGATGAGAGACATTAGTTGATGCTTGGGCCACTATATTTGAGAGTGTCTTTGTTATGGTAGCTTAGCTGTGACTGTCATAATACAGCCTCAAACTTCTAAGACTGGGGGCATTTTGGAAACCATTTCACCGTTTCTGGAGCTACTTAGAGGCTAGTAGCAGAGTCCTTGAAAACCACTGTGCCCTGTACAGAATATCACAAAATATGGGTCTGTTATATTCCTTCATATAAACTTTGATTTAACAAAATTATATATTTAGTATATTTTGAGTTTAGAATGCTTAGAAATAATACACATAATCTTTTTATTTATTGTAACATATAACTTATATTTAAAAAACAATCAATGTAATTTAAGTATAGTAATATAACCCAACATAAAAATCAGGACCACAAGCATACAACCAACAGCATCCGCTGGGGGTAATTTTTTCCTGTTAACATGCTAAAGGTTGCATGTTCATCATTGGTTGTATTATATTGCATATTCTTAATGGCAATGATGGTATTGTACATGATTATGACGATGGAAGGCATGCATTAAAAATAATTTTGCATGGCTGGTTCAGTTGAACGCATTCCCAACTGCTGCCCTTGAACGTATTTGCAGTCACTCCTCTGGGAAATACGGATCAGGCTGCATTCGAAGACATCAGGCTTGGTCCTGGATGCTGAATGCTGGCGAGAGACCAGCACAGCACACAGGAAGTTCAGACAGTACCCATCCCAACAGGACACCCATGACCTTCATAAATGACTAGTTCCTCAACCCCAAGATGACCTTGGTCTTTGATTCTTATCATAGTTACACCTCCCAGCTACAACCTGCCCTCTGGTGACCTAAGGGGCTGGGACCTCCAAAAGCTAGGAGGGAAAGCAGTGTGACTGGTGCTCCCTGGCTGCTCAGGAGAAGGGCCTCCCCTCCTTCGATGGGTCCTGTCTCGGCACCCTTAGCAGTGCAGGGCAGCAGAGGCCCCAGCCTGCTCCTTAGAGAGGAAGCCCAGCCCTGTTCATCATGTGGATGTGGCAGAGATGGGAAGCTGGGGGCCCGAAGGCCTGGCAGAGCTTCTCAGCCTCACTTGTTACTAGTGTGAGAACTAGAGCAGGTGAGTGAGGTCATTTTGCATTTTGTTGCATTTTTTTTCATTTAAGATCATCATTAGCAAGTTACTCACTGCTACATTGCCTTCATAATTGTCATTTTTTTTTACTGACTGTACAGTGTTTCATCAAATACTAGAAGTTAATTAGCTCCTTATTGTGGTCTCTTTAAGTAGTTCCAGTTTTATATTACTGTGAATATTGCTGCAATTAATATCATAGTCAGTATAGCTTTTGGCTTCAGTTAGATAATATCCTCAGGAAAAGGGCAAGTTTTGACTCTACCTCTTATGAAAAATTGCAGGATGTTGTGGCAACATTTTTGCATTAACATTTTCATTAGCCAAAAATGGGAAAGATCAGAACTATTTCAGTAGGACATGCTTAAATAAACTATGCTATCACCAATCAGTAGAATGCTATACAACCATTAGAAAGAATGAGGATTATTCCTAATAGCAAAAAAAGTAGAAACAATCCAGATGTTCATCAGCTAGTAAATAGATAAATAAAATGTGGTGTAATATCCATACAACAGCATATCAGTCATAATGAAATCCTGATACGTGCTACAATGTGGATGAACTCTG